TCCCGTGCCCTCGCCCCCTCTCTCCCTCACCATGGGGGCATTGATTTGCCTCCACAGCCCCTGCCTCAACTTATGTTGCTCATTTTGCAGCTATAATCCATGTTGACAGTTTCTTGATACGACAAGCAATAGGAACCCTTCAAAGTCACCAAAGTTTTCCTAAAGCAAATATTACAGAATAAACTTGCCCAGTGTAAACATGAAAACTGACTTTCCATTTTCTTTTAGACCTTTCTTCCCATCAACATGTAAGCAATAATCTTGTCCTTCCTATGCCAACAGTTCTGTCCACTTATTAAAAAGTTTAAGCTGCTTATTTGGTAGCCAGCAGTAGCAATCTTCCATGCTATTCTCTCTTTTTTTTCCCCTCTGTTTTCAAATAGCTGTGGAGATTCTTGCTGACATCATACAGAACAGTACATTGGGGGAAGCAGAAATTGAACGGGAGCGAGGAGTTATTCTTCGAGAGATGCAGGAAGTTGAAACTAATTTGCAGGAAGTTGTGTTTGATTATCTTCATGCCACAGCCTATCAGAACACAGCATTGGGACGGACAATCTTAGGACCTACTGAAAATATCAAGTATGTCCAACTTTTATTACCCCTTTGCTTTAGTTGCACAGGTATCTTCCTGAATTTGCATATGAGTGGAACTTCTCTTCTGAAGTGTAAGGTGGGGTGGTTAAATGTAATTGAAACCACAGTCTCCCCAGAATACCTTAAGCTTCAGTTAGCTGGGCTATCAGAGGGAAGGGGAGTTTACCAAGTGCAATTCATTTCTTCATTGTCTGCCTCGTTTCTTTTATATGATACCCTTGGCCTTATCACAGAATCGGAAATAGTCCTTCCAGTGAGGTGCTCAGTAATGTGCAATATAAACAAGGTTACATCACACCCCTAATTCAGATCTTTACCACTGTGAACAAAGAAACAGAGTGCAGTTAGAGGAGTCAAGTTCATGTAAAAGAAATGCTACGAGATCATAAATGGACCCTATTTCCAGTTGAACACTGACCTTAGTGAGAACAGGATTAGGCCCAGGGTTTTTGTGGGGAGGAAGAAAGAGCTTATGGGAGGGGATGGGTGTGAACTCCAGTTTGTTAGTAGCCCACCTCTACATTTGCTAGACTGTTGCTTCCCCAGTGGGCTGCCTCCCTGGAGAGAATTTAGAAATACCAGTGCTGTGCTGTTTATTGGGCTAGGAGACTGCAAGTGAGTACTGCAGTTACCAACCTCTTCCCAGCATGGAAAGCCAGCTCCCTAGTATCATCGAGGACTGTTGTAGTGTTATACTGGTCTACCAGGGTAGCCTCTGTTTTTTCCCTCTGATTTAATAAGCAATTCTGTCTGTAAGCCTAAACACTGGAGCCATTGCTTCTGTTTTTCTATACCACTTAAAATATAAAATTAGGGTTGAAAGGGACCTCAGGAGATCATCTAGTGCAATGCCCTGCTCAAAGCAGCACCATCCCCAAGTAGATCATTCCAACCAGGGCTTTGTTGAGCCACGCCTTACAAACCTCCAAGGATAGAGATTCCACCACCTCTCTAGGAAACTGTTCTAGTACTTTACCACCCTCCTAATAAGAGGTTTTTTTTCCTAATACCCAACCTAAACTTCCCTTGCTGCAACTTGTGACTGTTGCTCCTTGTTCTGTCTTGCAGATCTATAAACCGTAATGACTTGGTGGAGTACATAACAACCCATTATAAAGGCCCCAGAATGGTGCTGGCTGCTGCCGGAGGTCTGTATGAGATGTGCACTGTGGCTAGCTTGGAAATAGGTTCAAGAACAGTTTTGAGTTTATTGGAACGGAATGCAGATAAGACGCAAAAACTGGGTATATATCCCCTATTCAGTAGATGGTGAAAGTCTGTTGTTAGCCTGCAAAGTCATGAGCTTCTTATTGTGGACTTTTCCCCCAAAATCAGTGGGATCCATCTCAGGACTGCCCAAAAAAGAAGCCTTGTCCAGTTCCTCCTCTCCTGAGAGGATCCTTGAAGCCAGTCCCAACTTGGCTTCACAAGGGACAAGTCTCTGGCTTTGAGACTCTGCCTCTTTTTCACCCCTGGCTTTCCTATTGATCCATAGTACCCCCACCTCAAAGCACTCCTTTTTCATCAGCTTTTGGGAAGGGGTGTGTGTTTTATTTTTCAAAAGAGGTGGTAAAAATGCCGATGTTCCTGATACCACAGCGGACTGCTCGGCTCCAGACAAATACTACTGTAGTTTTCTTGGTCCTCATTCAGACTCCTGTTTAGTCTTCGCTTTGTCCTTACCGAGACTATCCTTTTTCTCTAACTCTGTCATCCCTGAGACATGGTTTTTTCACCCTGGCATTCTCTGAGTGTCACCCTTTCTTTTCAGGGCCAGTCACACTTGGAACAAAAGAGTTACTAAACTATAGGATTAACACCCAATAAAACAAAACACAGAGTTATAGGGAACCAATCAGAGAGTAGTCTCTGCAGCCTGCTATCAAGCCCAGGCTGCCATTTGCCACTGGGGTGAAAAGAGTATATAGGTGTCCTTCTTAAAACTATTTACATCAATACCTGCTCATGCTGCGCATCCCGAAGTGTTACCCTCAAGAACTGCAGGCTAGAATTCATCCCACTTAGCCTCACTTGTCATGCTTCTATGGTGGCATTTTATGTGCTGTCATCCTGCTCATCTATTTGATCTTTCCCCTAGTAATTTTCCAGGGAAATCCTTAAATCTATATGTGGGAGAGGTGGGCGCTTCTCGGTGTGCAGCAAGTGAACAGCTGAGCAAGTGAAGAAGGGATTAGGAGTTCAAAGAGGGATAAGGAGAGTAGCAAAACTGAGCAGAGCTGAAAATGAGTTGAGATGATGTGTGGCCTTGAGGTTAAGACCATGTAGCCTTGGTGCAATGTCAGATAGGAAGGAGTTGAAGAAGATTGAGGAGAAAGGTGATAAGGATAATGGGAAGGAGTGGGGAGGAGTTGGGAGAAGGGGGAATCCAGAATGTGCAGCATTCAATATGTGAGAGACCCCGGGGGTTATGATGAATCATTATAAATTGGCATCTTGGTTGAAGCCTTTTAATTACAGCACAGTTAAATGATCTGTTCAGAGGCATCTTTTTAAAACGAGTGTGTGTGCAATTCCTTTGTTCAGGAGTCTCTCATGATGACTTGCTTGACTTAGCAAAGGATCATTTTGGTAATTTACCATCTACTGAGGAAGGAGCGCCGGCATTGCCCCCCTGCAGATTCACAGGTAGCGAGGTAAGCCATGAGTTTGCTTCTTTAGGTTAATTGCATCCCCAGCCAACTGACACTGCAACATTAATATATGCTGTCTGGTCTCACACACTTCATGCTCAGCTTTCACAACAGCTGAGTATGACTTGCTCCCGTTGAAGTTAATGGGAATTCTTTGTGCTCTCATCACCTTTTGGAGGTGGAGGTGTTTGCTCTTGGTTGGAGGGAGGTTGTTTAAAGGTTACAGGAAATTAAGGAACTTAAAACACCTGGGTTGTGCTCCCTGTTCTGTCTGGATCCTGCGAATTTACATAATCCTTCTGTGTGTTCTTTTATCTACTTGTAAAACCACTTACAAACAGTACAGCCCAACAGCATGGATAAACAGAACATTATACAATGCATTGACATCCTTCAGGCAGAAATCCCAGCTCAAGGTGCTGTTGGATAAAGTTGTACCTTCTTTCAGGCTGGATGCTATACCTTTGTGCCTGCTTTACACTAGAGATTTATTTGAAATCCCTGCTTCCCTAATCTAATTTGTGTACCATGACATGTATCGCACTACTGGACATGCATTGTGTTACTGTTACTGCAGTAGCTGGGGTTATGTTCTTATGATCCTTCAACAGATTCGTATAAGAGACGACAAGATGCCTTTGGCGTATATTGCAATAGCTGTTGAAGCAGCTGGCTGGACTCACCCAGATACCATTCCTCTGATGGTAGCAAATACCCTGATAGGCAACTGGGATCGTTCTTTCGGAGGAGGCGTGGTGAGTGGACAAAGGTTAATCGTATCTGAGAGATTTAATTTATTTGGGTACTTCTCAGCATCAGTACAGTTCCCACATCCCAACTGCCATGATGGAGCTGGTTCAGCTGATTATTTTGAAGGGCATATTAACAAATCTGACTTCAGCCAAAGATCTGCGAGCACATTCTGGTATCATGTGGGAAATGGATCCAGATGCATGTCAGGGAAAAACACACACTGAATCATCAAATTGACTAGCTCTTATGCAGCCTAGCAACTCTGAGTGGAAACCAGTGGTCAACAAAATGGTTCAGAGCCATATGTAATGAAAATCTGCAGGCCCCTGTGGTTCTTCTCTTCCTTGGAGCTTGGTAGGTCCTTCGTTAAAGCACTGGCTCAGGTTTAGAGTGTTGTTTGGAAGCATGAGAGAAGAGCAGAAGGAACTTGGCTGCCCAGGACAAAAGCTTAACTTGGTCACAGTGTTGTTGCTTGTGGGAGAAGCCACCTGTTTGGTTACACCTGAAATAGCATTAATGAGTCAGCGCAGGTGTTGAGTGTGTGTGGTTGGTTTTTAATCCTAAAATGCATTCTTTTGTTTTAACAGAATTTATCCAGTAAACTTGCCCAGGTCACCTGTCATGGCAACTTGTGTCATAGTTTCCAGTCCTTCAACACCTGTTACACTGATACTGGATTGTGGGGGCTCTATATGGTTTGTGAACCATCCACTATCCAGGACATGATGCATTTTGTTCAGAGAGAATGGTAAGACTATAACCACTTTCTTAAAATAGCTTGGTTTACCTTCAGGGATGTCCATTTGAAAGTCACCACCTTCTGAAGCCAGTAAGTGGTCTGTCTGCATGGGCTCAGGTTTGTCAGGAAAGAACAAATGGATCAAGTTCCTACCTTTTTATAAAGTTGTTTCTTCCCACAAGGCCAGTTTCCTTACTTCACAATGGGCGCATCTACATGAGACGTTAACTGTGCAGTAGTCTAACAGTACTATGCAATAGCGTGTCGCAGCACAAACAGTGCCAATACACTACGCAGTGTTATTAGCCTACTGCGCAGTATTGTCACTAAAAGCTTGCGCCTGCAGTACTGCGCAATAACCATTAATTTAGTACTTGATTATACAAGTACTAATCTTAGTGCACACTAATTACAGCACATTAATGAACGCGGAGGCACACCCAGCGAGTTGCATCTTACCCTGCAAGTAGCTATAGTGAAAGCAACAGAATCACTTGTAAGAAGAAGTAATCCTCGGAAAGCTGAGTAGTGCAGTCTAGCCCAGGATGGCAGTAAACTACCCTTTGATTTACAAATTTAAGCTTTTTGGCAGGAGGAGGGTTACTTGATGCTGAGTAAGACATGCTAAGAAAGGTCCCTTCCACATTTAACTCTAAGCAATAGATTATATGCATCTCGACTGCGCACAATAATTACATAAAGCTGAGTTTAGCTTTGTAGAGAATGCCTGATAATTAGTTGTCTACACCGTCATTTGCTTGTGCATCTATCTACCTGGCAAACCAGCAACTGTTTATGAAAATATAATAATTATACAAGCAAGATATAATTAAGCAAGAATTTTTTTGAAACTTTAGGCTGTAAATTATACTGATTACTGGCTTGTCAATCTGATGAAAACTTGTGGCACGCTCTAGTTGTCAGTTGCATAGATTCTCCCTTGTCCCTAGTGTAGTCTCATGATGTGTGTGGTAAATCACTAAAGTTAAAATCTAAAGTATGACTTTATTTGCCTGCTTAATGGAATTCGGTGCAAGGGAAAGA